TTGTGTAATTTCCGAGGTATCACAATAAAGACAGTACAGAAAAAAAAACCGGTTGTTTCCAGACGTTTTATTTTTCAAGCATCAGAAACGTGAGAAGCATGCAGCTAGCAAGACATCATCATCATCACCACTATCGACACGACCATCTTTCTCCTCGTCCATACCCTTTGAGTCGACTTCCTCCTGGAGCAAACAGAAGACGAACCTGGGTTTGACATCAACATACGCAAAGGACAGAGCCATATGCAAAATTGGTAGTCTCTTGTTGATCACTCTTGTTGATCATCGGCGATGATGAACGTGTCAAATTCAAGCCTGTTTTTTTTGCTTTCTTCCCAAATTTGATAGAGGAAGATACCGCACCTCACGACTAGACCACCTCCACCAAGCGGGCGATAGTGCCCACTTCGAGAAACACTAGTCTAGCAACTAGGCTTTTGCAGCTGTGTCTGCTGGAAGGAAAACGACATTTAGTGCCTAGACTTTGTTTATGAAGGGGGAATTACAACAACAGAAAATAGGTGATACTCCCTTTTTTCCCCTTTTATTTTTCTCAGACTAATTCTTGAAAGGACCTACAAGATATGTAAATTTTCGAGGAATATAACGACAGTGAATGTCAACTTGTAGAGTGTGTAGTGTAAAGGCGTTAGTCGTTATTCGTTACAGTTCCGGCATAACAGCAAACCAGCTTAGCCCATAATTGTTTCACTGCCTTTGCCAGTGAATTCAGTAACAAACTGAGTCAGATATCAGCTTAAAGTCCTTAAGTCCTTTTCAGGACGCATTTTTTTTGTTATTTGAAGCCCCACTCTGGCTTTTGCCAGGGGCCGCAATATAGGCAGGCCATAAAAATGGCCAAATGTCTGAACGCGGTTTCTGGGACCTCTCCACGATGATCCTCATCCACATGGTGGCACGTTGTGTCATCGGGTGTTTATCGCTTGTGTGATGTCCTAGTGGGGTAGAAAGTCACTCACTCAGTCAGATAGTACTAATCCTGTTTCGTCCTTTTGAGGATGAAAATTTTTGTTATATGAAGCCCCACCCTGGCTTTTGCCAGGGGCCGCAATATAGGCAGGCCATAAATATGGCCAATTGTCTGAACGCGGTTTCTGTGACTTCTCCACGGCGATCCTCATCCATGTGGTGGCACTTTGTGTCATCGGATGTTTATCGCTTGTATGATGTCCTAGTGGGGTAGAAAGTCAGTCAGTCAGATACGCTGGATACTTCAAGTGAATGCCGTAAACGTACAAAGTGTCATCAGTCAGCAAAACACACACAATTTGATCTGGCAAATCATAGGGTGAATGTCTCCTTCAACAAACTGCGAGACCAGGCGTCATCTATGAAAATCAACTGCATTCGACGAATAGCTAAGCGATGAGTAGATTAAAACTATTCCTGGCCATTCTCCACATGTCCACGTCCAAGCTGCAGCCACGGCCAGATATAGCACAAGCCTTATCCCAGGAACACGACGAAGAAAAATAGATCTCCCATCATTGCCATAAGTAACGAATCTGTAACTCAGTCAATAACCGATAATCACAGCTCATAGTGCCGCCTGGATCTCTAAACTCAGTAGCTCCGACTGCAATCTGGACTCCCACAATCTTGCAACATCGAAACTGGAGGAGAAACGGAGACTAGAACGGTCAACATGAGCCAAGTTCTCAACCATCATCCATTCCTTATCAATGTCCGAACCGGAAATATTAGACGTAAGCTGAAACCTTGTTGCAAATAGCACAGCAGGCTGACACATTTTAGCTAGAATTACATCTGCTAACTACACCCAGCCCCCTTTCCCCCTGCCCCCCTCTGGGAGAAGTTATTCCGACTGAGAAATATCCAGACAGACCAATATGGATTTTCAGTTTTATAGTACACATTATATTATATTACATTATATTATATTACATTATATTACATTACATTACATTAAATTACATTAAATTATATTATATTTTAATATTTGAAGGGGTAAAAAATACAACATATAATCTTCTGCACGTGGACTACAAGGTCCTTAACTTACTGAGAAAAGAGGTGGAACACAGAAACATGATGAAACTACCCGGCAACAGAAGTAGAGAAATAAAGAGGGTATCTCGTTCGCAACCAAAGACTTGAGGGTCGGCAGACTGGGTGACTAGTTACTGAACTAGCTAGTCTTTTAAACAATAGATACCTCCCCCCCTCCCCCCTTCCCACCCCCCCCCTTTTTCCCAATAAAAGCTAATGAGGCCTCTTTAAACATGTGTATACATTCTCTTTAAACTGTGTTTATACATGTTAAATTATTTCAAATATATCGTTACATGTATTCATAATTTAGCACACTATTATTATTATTATATTACTATTACTATGCTCTTCGGCCATGATTATGCCCCTTTTTACCCATAAAATATAGCGTGGGAGGGAGTGGCAGGGGCTGTGTGCACTAATATTTCTCTGTGTCGGCGTGTCTGCTACTGCGGACCTCCCATAGTTCTCCACTACACCTACACTCGTCAACCGAGACATGGCGTTACAGAACGAACTCCAACTATTTAAGAGGGTGGAAAACGCCCTAGCAAGCTGGCCACACAGAATCGTTCCTTTTTTGGCTCTACTTCATTATGTACTGCAACGTCAACCGTTTTTTTTTTATTTTCAGCAAAACCTGGATGGGATGAGGAAGTTGTTCTTCACTATTATTAGCCACAAAAATAACAACCTACGTAAGCTGGACATCGATTAGGTGAATCCTTTAATCTGATACTTAACTTCGTTAATCGCCACGTCTTTATGCCCCAGACATCGGTCATAATTTCTTTGTTTAGCAGCCCAGTCTTGTATTGTAACTTCAGCGTTTTCAAGTAACAATGGAGCTTATTGTGAAGTTCCCTCTTAGAGTGCAAGAATATCGCAGCGATTGTAGTATTACATCATGCATATGTTCATTTATGTACACGACAGAGTAGTATTACATCATGCATATGTTCATTTATGTACACGACAGAGTAGTATTACATCATGCATATGTTCATTTGTGTACACGACAGAGTAGTATTACATCATGCATATGTTCATTTGTGTACACGACAGAGTAGTATTACATCATGCATATGTTCATTTGTGTACACGACAGAGTAGTATTACATCATGCATATGTTCATTTATGTACACGACAGAGTAGTAAACATCATGCATATGTTCATTTATGTACACTGGTATTACATCAGCATATCTTCATTTATGTACACGACAGAGTAGTATTACATCATGCATATGTTCATTTATGTACACGACAACGTCATTACATCATGCATATGTTCATTTATGTACACGACAGAGTAGTATTACATCATGCATATGTTCATTTATGTACACGACAGAGTAGTATTACATCATGCATATGTTCATTTAGTACACAAAGAGTAGTATTACATCATGCATACATTCATTTATGTACACGACAGAGTAGTATTACATCATGCATATGTTCATTTGACACGACAGAGTAGTATTACATCGCATATGTTCATTTATGCCACGACAGAGTAGATTACATCATGCATATGTTCATTTGTGTACACGACAGAGTAGTATTACTCATGCATATGTTCATTTATGTACACGACAGAGTAGTATTACATCATGCATAGTAACATGGTACACGACAGAGTAGTATTACATCATGCATATGTTCATTTATGTACACGACAGAGTAGTATTACATCATGCATATGTTCATTTATGTACACGACAGAGTAGTATTACATCATGCATATGTTCATTTATGTACACGACAGAGTAGTATTACATCATGCATATGTTTATTTATGTACACGACAGAGTAGTATTACATCATGCATATGTTCATTTATGTACACGACAGAGGCGAAGCCACCTAAAATATATTCATAAGGCTCAGTCCACTTCATGCACAAATGGCTTTATTTTTGCTATAGGCGTTGGGGTGGCCGTGGTGGTGGTGGTGGTAGTGGTGCTGGTTGTAGTGGTAGTAGTAGTGTACCGAATTGCAAGAACATGTATCAATATATTTTCAATATTCAAAAAGTATAAATATCGCAGGATGTCGAATCTTTTGGAAACAGCCTAGAAGAAACAAACCAATCGATCGATTGAAAACATGTGCACTTTCTTAGTGGTGCTGGGGCCAATAGGTCAGTGAAACTCGCTTGCTCGCTCCAATGTCTTGAGTCCGAATCCACACAACCTTGACTCCCAGGTCAATCCAGCAAAATGTAGTTAACAGGTAACGAAGGGGAAGTAAAGGCGGCAAGTGTGATGTTTATGGCCCCATCAATGCGAGAGGTCTATACAAACACGAGTTTAGCATCATATGTCCAAGAAGTCCTGTTGTAAAAAAGATCCTTCTGTTACTGTACTGTTTTACAGCCTTGTGACTACTCCAGCTATTTCTTTCCTGTTTTACTGCTCCACGGTTACTTAAGTCCTTTCTTTCCTGTTTTACAGCCTCCTGGTTACTCCAGTTATTTCTCTCCTAATTTATAGCCCTCTGGTTACTCCAGTTATTTCTCTCCTAATTTACAGCCTCCTGGTTACTCCATTTATTTCTCTCGTAATTTACAGCCTCCTGGTTACTCCATTTATTTCTCTCCTAATTTACAGCCTCGTGGTTACTCTAGTTATTTCTCTCCTATTTCACAGCTCCTGGTCACTCCAACCATTTCTCTCCTGTTTTAGAGCCTTGTGGCTACTCCAGTTATTTCTTTCCTAATTTATAGCCTCCTGGTTACTCAAGTTATTTCTCTCCTGTTTTAGAGCCTTGTGGCTACTCCAGTTATTTCTTTCCTGTTTTACGGCTTCACGATTACTCAAGTTCTTTCTCTCCTGTTTTATACCCTCCTGGTTACTCCAGTTATTACTCTCCTAATTTATAGCCTCCTGGTTACTCCAGTTATTTATCTCCTAATTTATAGCCTCCTGGTTACTCCAGTTATTTTTCTCCTAATTTACAGCCTCCTGGTTACTCGTTATTTGTCTCCTAATTTACAGCCTCCTGGTTACTCTAGTTTTTTGTCTCCTAATTTACAGCCTCCTGGTTACTCCAGTTATTTGTCTCCTAATTTACAGCCTCCTGGTTACTCCAGTTATTTGTCTCCTAATTTACAGCCTCATGGTTACTCCAGTTATTTGTCTCCTAATTTACAGCCTCCTGATTACTCTAGTTATTTGTCTCCTAATTTACAGCCTCCTGGTTACTCCAGTTATTTGTCTCCTAATTTACAGCCTCATGGTTACTCCAGTTATTTGTCTCCTAATTTACAGCCTCCTGATTACTCTAGTTATTTGTCTCCTAATTTACAGCCTCCTGGTTACTCCAGTTATTTGTCTCCTAATTTACAGCCTCCTGGTTACTCCAGTTATTTGTCTCCTAATTTACAGCCTCCTGGTTACTCCAGTTATTTGTCTCCTAATTTACAGCCTCCTGATTACTCCAGTTATTTGTCTCCTAATTTACAGCCTCCTGGTTACTCCAGTTATTTGTCTCCTAATTTACAGCCTCCTGGTTACTACAGTTATTGTCTCCTAATTTTTTACAGCCTCCTGGTTACTCCAGTTATTTGTCTCCTAATTTACAGCCTCCTGATTACTCCAGTTATTTGTCTCCCAATTTACAGCCTCCTGGTTACTCCAGTTATTTGTCTCCTAATTTACAGCCTCCTGGTTACTCCAGTTATTTGTCTCCTAATTTACAGCCTCCTGGTTACTCCAGTTATTTATCTCCTGTTTTACAGAAAACTGAAAATGGAGCAGTCTGACCTACAATGACCTACAGGTGGAGCCAGGTAATGTTCAGACATGCCTTCTGAGGCCAGAACCAGCATGGCTGAAGTTGTGATCACGCAGGAGGATGTTTTGGCCATGTCGTTGATGGTTCATCTGTGCGTCTTTTTGGAATTACTGGCCAATAGATTGGTTGGGTGGTTGTCGCCAATGTTGAGTGAAAGGTCGTCAATAGTGAGAACGTTGACAAGCCTGCATAGAATGAAACCTGGTTTGCTAGCAAAAGTGTAAGTTGCTATTTGTGTCTTAATTATCTTTCTTGATATTTATCGATGCACTTGTTCACAGGTCTTGAGTGGCTGGCAGTGGCGCAGTAGTGTCTGTCAGGTTCGAATCTTGTTGCTGATAACTGAGTCTAACTGATTTGAGGCTGAAGGCGCAAAACTTGGCACAGAGACATGTCTTGTAAAGTCAAGGCAGTCAGCACGTTTGGCCCAGTGTTGCCACTTTTCTTTGACAAAAAATATCCGAAACGGTGTCAAAAAATATCTAAAAAGATCTAAATCTGCGTGGAAAAGATCTAGAAAAAACATCCAAATTGAAAAAGTCAAAAATTACATACTTTTGTTATGACTTACCCTATATAATCATGTCCTTGATTGTGTGTATGTGTGGGTTTTAAATGTAGACATATGCATATATTTGATTGTGTGTATGTGTGGGTTTTAAATGTAGACATATGCATATATTTGATTGTGTGTATGTGTGGGTTTTAAATGTAGACATATGCATATATTTGATTGTGTGTATGTGTGGGTTTTAAATGTAGACACAGACACATATATTTAAATGTGTGTATGTGTGGTTTTCAGATGTAGACACACACACATATTTAAATGTGTGTATGTGTGGGTTTTAGATGTAGACACACACATATATTTAAATGTGTGTATGTGTGTGTTTTAGATGTAGACACACACATATATTTAAATGTGTGTATGTGTGTGTTTTAGATGTAGACACACACATATATTTAAATGTGTGTATGTGTGTGTTTTAGATGTAGACACACACATATATTTAAATGTGTGTATGTGTGTGTTTTAGATGTAGGTAAAAAAATATAGTTTGATTTGTGAGTGAGTTTTAAATGTAGACACATACATTTATTTAAATATATCGGTCTGTGTTTTAAATGCAGACATCACATGCATTTAAATGTGTGTGTCTGTGTCTCTCTGTGTGTGTTTGTTTAATGTAGAGATAAACATATGTTTAAATCTATTTGTGTGTGTGATTTTTAAATGTAGACACATACATATGTTAAAATGTGTTTGTGTGTATGATTTTTTACTGTAGACACACAACATAAATTTGATTGCGTGTGTGTGTGTGTTTTAAATGTAGTCACATGCATACTTTTAAATCTATGTATGTATGATTTTCAGATGCAAACCCCTGTATATTTAAATGTGTGTGTGTGTGTTTGTGTGTGTGTGTGTTTTAAATGTAGATATATACATATTTTTAAATATGTGTGTGTGTTTTTTTTTTTTTTATGTAGATACAAGCATATATTTAAATATATACGTGTATGTGTTTTAAACTAAGACACATGTATATTTAATTACATGTTTGTATTTTTTTTAAATGTAGTCACATAAATATATTTAAATAAGAATGTATGTGTGTCTTTTTTTATGTAGACACACATGTATTTAAATGTATGTGTGTGTTTTAAATGTAGAGACATACGTAGTTTTAAATGAGTGTGTTTTAAATGCGTAGACACATGCATATGCTGAAATGACAACCTTATCTTCTTCTGATCTCAAGCCTGATGGAGCAGACGACGCTTTGGAGTATAATTCTGCTGATAATGGTGTCCTTGACTTATACATCACTGTCGTTGACCCCATTCAGCCACCAACCTCAGCCTTACCCGAAGTTTCTGGTGCGGGTCATCCTGACGTCCAGCATCGCTCGATTCAGCGTCATGGCTACTCGCATTGTCCTGGTCAGAGATCCCGTCATTGGACAAATAAAAACTACAGCCACTCCCGGGCAGTCTGGCCACGCCATATTGGACTTCTTCTACTGTGCATACAGCGCGGCCACCAACTTCCTGTATCTATGCTACCACGAGAATCTGTTACTGGGAGTGACATCTAGTTTCATGGAAGTGAGCTCCACGCCTGTTGAATGCTGCCGTCTTATTGAACAGTCTAACAAAGCTTTAGGCTCCCAGTCTTACCGTAAGACTACGATTCTCACTTGCGCCTTGTGTTTTATTTGTCGAGTTATGCTGCCTTTGCTGTTTCTAATTTTAGCATTGAGACAAGAATCGCCATTTTGCATGGATGAGGTCCCTCTTGTAAACTTCTTTATCAGTGGGGCCTTCTACGCTACCTTTAACGGTTTATTTCTGTCGCAGAGCATTCGACGCCTGCGGTACTCTTCTCAACATCCAATTCCCCAAACGTGTATACAGTCTTCCTCTGCTCAAGTCCCATTCTCTATTCACATGACATCTAATGAGACATTACAGGGACAAGTCAACGACAACCATGGACAGTCTCGCCTCAGCGATTTCAACTACACGCTAATAGAAACCTGCAACGACAAAGGTTTGCTCCGTGATCTTGCCTCAGACAATATACAAAAGAGCTATCTTGTCCAGATGGACGATTCAAAGCAATCGGTTGCCAAAAAGAGCGCGAAAAGTTCTAGTGGAGACATCTTAGGCAGGTTTCATTTCAATAGTTACACAGGTAGGACAACAGTGAAAAGTCGCAGTTACGATTGTTTATTGGGCAGTCAAGATCTCGTCTGTGAAGAGGAAACTATGATGTTTGTGGGTGGACTTAATAATCAAACCGGTAACAATGATCAGTCGGACTTGGATCACACTGTAGTATTTGTAGAGCAAACGGGCTCGTTCGAGAGTTAGAGACACCTTTATTTAAACGTTGCCTCTTATGCGGTTTTTGTATCACATACACAGACAGACACCCATACAGACACATGCGTTGGTCACTTTTGCCCTGTAAAGGGTTTCACATCACCTCAGCAGGAAAGAGGAAGGTGCCAACGGTAAAGGGTTTCACATCAGCTCAGCAGGAAAGAGGAAGGTGTCCCCAGTCAAGGGTTTCACATCACCTCAGCAGGAAAGAGGAAGGTGCTCCCGGTAGAGGGTTTCACATCACCTCAGCAGGAAAGAGAAAGGTGCCCCCGGTAAATGGTTTCACATCACCTTCTGCCACCCACGTAGTTTGCTGGGCACTACAGAAGAGACCGACGAAGCAACTCTACCAGTGTTGGCAGCCAAAGGCTGCAAAATCAAGAAAATTATAACAGGCCACAACCTACACTTCTCTGCGGGACTGTTAACAAGTATAACTCTAGTATTCGATCATCGGGTACAATATAACTCCAATATTCGATCATCAGATACAGTATAACTCCAGTATTCGATCATCAAGTACAGTATAACTCCAGTATTCGATGATCAAATACAGTATAACTCCAGTATTCGATCATCAGGTACAGTATAACTCCAGTATTCGATCATCAAGTACAGTATAACTCCATTATTCGATCATCAAGTACAGTATAACTCTAGTATTCGATCATCAAGTACAGTATAACTCCAATATTCGATCATCAAGTACAGTATAACTCCAATATTCGATCATCAAGTACAGTATAACTCTAGTATTCGATCATCAAATACAGTATAACTCCAGTATTCGATCATCAGGTACAGTATAACTCCAATATTCGATCATCAAATACAGTATAACTCCAGTATTCGATCATCAAGTACAGTATAACTCCATTATTCGATCATCAAGTACAGTATAACTCTAGTATTCGATCATCAAGTACAGTATAACTCCAATATTCGATCATCAAGTACAGTATAACTCCAATATTCGATCATCAAGTACAGTATAACTCCAGTATTCGATCATCAAGTACAGTATAACTCCAGTATTCGATGATCAAATACAGTGTAACTCCAATATTCGATCATCAAGTACAGTATAACTCCAGTATTCGATCATCAAGTACATTATAACTCCAATATTCGATCATCAAGTACAGTATAACTCCAATATTCGATCATCAAGTACAGTATAACTCCAATATTCGATCATCAGGTACAGTATAACTCCAATATTCGATCATCAAGTACAGTATAACTCTAGTATTCGATGATCAAATACAGTGTAACTCTAATATTCGATCATCAAGTACAGTATAACTCCAATATTCGATCATCAAGTACAGTATAACTCCAGTATTCGATCATCAAGTACAGTATAACTCCAATATTCGATCATCAAATACCGTATAACTCTGATATTCGATCATCGAGTACAGTATAACTCTAATATTTTATAATTAATCTATTCCCGAGGAGAGAGCGTATTTTAGGAAGAATGAATATTAAACTGGTTTTCCCCATAAGAATAAACTAAGAAATAATTGAATCTGCCTCCAATCCTAAAGTTTAACTATTTTTTGTTAAAACACGACAAAACATAATGTTGAATATATGCCGGATGGCCCAAATGTTGACTATATGTGAAATGTGCTTAAATGTTGACTATTTCCTAGATGTACCCAAATGTTTACTATATGTCAAATGTGCTTAAATGTTGACTGTATGCTGGATGTGCCCAAGTGTAGACTATATGTCGGATATGCTTAAATGTTGACTGTATGCTGGATGTGCCCAACTGTAGACTATATGCTGGATGTGCCCAAGTGTCACTCAAGCTAAGAGGCTCAGTGCTGCCATTGTTTGTCAGCTCGTATGTGGGCCAGCATTGTCATATTCCAGACTAAATGTTTTCTCTGTGTCGACACCCCATGCTGGGTGTGTGGACAGTCAGGTTTATTAGCATATTACTAGCTTTAAGACATCTGTCGCAAATGGTAATGATGGCATTTGAATGATAAATCAAAATTTATCGCATCGGTAACATGTAATCTTTCACGTTTTTACGATTTAAAACTTTTAGACTTTGCAACCTGCATCCTTTGTATGAATTATATGTATAATTACAATGTAATGTTTTCTATTTAATTGTTCTAATTGACCAATTTACTTTTTGACTGCCTACAAGTTTGTGCCAGGTGTTTTGTGAAAGAAGCATATCGTTAGTTATTTTGCTGATGATATCTGGGTGTATAGCCTATGATAATAAACAGACTGACAGGATTAGCTGCTGCCGCGCCTACAGGCGGTGAACTACTTGATGATCAAGTCGACGTGGTGAATGCTCTCTGGTATCGCGTACACGTGTAGCAGTACAAATGGAGCCTCCAGATCTGCAGAAAATGATTTAGCTGGGGGTGAACAGAGGCTTTGGACTATCACTATGGCAACTTTTCGTGGGTTACCAAGAAATGGAGCGAAGCACGAATGGGATGTTGCTAGTGCAATGATTTCAATTTATTTATTCATTTTTCTGTTCTTTCATTATAGATCAATCAATCAATCATTCATTTCATTTTTGTGTCTACCGTGTAGAGTGACTGTAGTGTACATTTAACAATTTCAGTCTTGTTAGCCACATTTTGATAGCCACATGTTTGTGATTTGTTGATAGCACACCCCCCCCCCCCCCCCCCCAGACTCTCTCTCTCTCTCTCTCTCTCTCTCTCTCTCTCTATGTGTGTGTGTGTGTTGTGTTTTTTAATATCGTGTTCTTTATTATGGTGTTGTTTACATACTCAAAACACGAGATAACTGTTGACTTGTTCTATTATCTTAACAATCAGTCTGACAATCACTATTGTTACTTATAAATAACACAATAAAATTAATCAAAACTTGTACCACAACACCTTTGGTAACTGAATTTAATTCAGGTTGTGTTTTTGTTAGTGGAGCCTTTCGTGTTTGCTACAAGCATGAATCTACGCTGTGTTGTATAACTTTATATTCGTGTTATTTACAGTTTGGTGTTGCATAACATTAGATTTGTGTTATTTACAGAGTAGTGTTGTATAACTTTAGATGTGTGTTATTTACAGTGTGGTGTGTAGCTTTAGATTTGTGTTGTTTACAGTATAGTGTTGTATAATTTTAGATTTGTGTTATTTACAGTGTGGTGTATAACTTTAGATTTGTGTTATCTATAGTGTGGTGTTGTATAAATTTAGATTTGTGTTATTTACAGTGTTGTATAAGTTTAAATTCGTGTTATTTACAGTGTGGTGTTGTACAGCTTAACTTTGTGTATTTCACAGTGTGGTGTTGTATAACTTTGAATTTGTATTATTAACAGTGTGGCGTTGTATAACTTTCACTTGTGTTATTTACAGTGTGGTGTTGTATAACTTTAGATTTGTGTTATTAACAGTAGGTTTGTTGTATAACTTTATATTTGTGTTATTGACAGTGTGATGTTGAATAACTTTAAATTTGTGTTATTTACAGTGTGGTGTTGTATAACTTTAAATTTCTGTTATTTACAGTGTGGTGTAGTATAACTTAAAATCTGTGTCACTTACTGTGTGGTGTTGTATAACTTTAGATTTGTGTTATTTACAGTGTGGTGTTGCATAGCTTTAAATTCGTGTTATTTACTGTGTGGTGTTGTATAACTATAAATTCGTGTTATTTGCAGTGTGATGTTGCATAGATTTAGATTTGTTTTATTAACCGTGTGATGTTCTATAAGGTTAAATTTGTGTTGTTTACAGCGTGATGTTGTATAATTGTAAATTTGTGTTATTTACATTGTTTTGTTGTATAACGTTAAACTCGTGTTATTTACAGTGTGGTGTTGTTTAGCTTTATTAAATTTGTGTTATTTACAGTATAGTGTTGTATAACTTTAATTTGTGTTATTTACAGTGTCGTGTTGTATAGCTTTAAATATCTTTTATTAACAGTGTGGTGTTGTATAACTTTATATTCGTGTTATTTACAGTTTGGTGTTGCATAACTTTAAATTTGTATTCTTTACAGTGTGGTGTTGTATAACTTTACATTTGTTGCATTTACAGTGTGGTTTTGTTTGACCTTAAATTTGTGTTATTAACAGTGTGGTGTTGTATAACTCTAGATTTGTGTTATTTACAGTGTGGTGTTGTATAACTTTAGATTTGTGTTATTTACAGTGTCTTTATGGTATAATTTTAGATGTGTGTTATTTACAGTGTGGTTTTGTATAACTTTAAATTTGTGTTATTTACAGTGTGGTGTTGTATTACTTTATGTTTGTGTGATTGAGAGTGTGGTGTTGTATAACTTTAGATTTCTGTTATTTACAGTGTGGTGTTGTAAAACTTTAGATTCGTGTTATTTACAGTGTGGTGTTGTAAAACTTTAGATTCGTGTTATTTACAGTGTGGTGTTGTATAACTTTAGATTTGTGTTATTTACAGTGTGGTGTTGCATAGCTTTAAATTCGTGTTATTAACTGTGTGGTGTTGTATAACTATAAATTTGTGTTATTTGCAGTGTGACGTTGCATAGATTTAGATTTGTTTTATCAACCGTGTGATGTTCTATAAGTTTAAATTTGTGTTGTTTACAGCGTGATGTTGTATAATTGTAAATATGTGTTATTTACATTGTTTTGTTGTATAACGTTAAATTCGTGTTATTTACAGTGTGGTGTTGTTTAGCTTCATTAAATTTGTGTTATTTACAGTATAGTGTTGTATAACTTTAATTTGTGTTATTTACAGTGTCGTGTTGTATAGCTTTAAATATCTTTTATTAACAGTGTGGAGTTGTATAAATTTATATTCGTGTTATTTACAGTGTGGTGTTGTATAACTTTACATTTGTTGCATTTTCAGTGTGGTTTTGTTTGACCTTAAATTTGTGTTATTAACAGTGTGGTGTTGTATAACTCTAGATTTGTGTTATTTACAGTGTGGTGTTGTATAACTTTAGATTTGTGTTATTTACAGTGTCTTGTG